AATGACCTGTGGGAGGTCATTGAAAAATCGTCATCAACGGTCGGAGGTTATCAGCAACAGTTGAAGGTGGTGGTAGCTGATGTACTGAGATAGTAGTGTAATTAAATTAGAGGTAATTTTGTCAAAAAAATATTTAGTGTTCTTAAACTAAACAAAACTTTTTTAAGTTGTTCTTTAACTAATAAAATATTTTCACTGGGGATCTTAAAAATAAAAAACCCCTTATTACATTGGTCTATTTTGATAGTACTTATAAGTCAATTTATTTAATTTGCTTGCTTAAAATAGCGTTTGATTGTAATTTTAAATTAAGGTAAAATACAAATACACAATCCTCCAGATTTGTTTAAAATATGAATTGTCCCTTGTGATTTAAAAAATTACAATTATTCCATTGTTGTATTTTAAACAAATCTTAGGGGGTTTAATTGTAATTTGCTCTTTAAATTGTATAATTTATTTGATTTTTTAAACTTATTTAACAAAAAAAAGTTGAGATTTTCGTAAGGTATACTTTGATTTTATAAGCTTTTAATTACATATGTACAAAATAATCACATCATTTTTGTCTTGATTACGGGTATAAAAAGATATTTTTACAATATTTTGAATATTTGCGTAACAAAAAAAATTCATTTATTCGGACATGTTTTACTTTTTTTCTCATTCCAAATTACCAAAAGTTTCATGAAATTAATTCAGAATTTATTTGAGTTTATTTTAATTATTAAAACAACTTATAAATATATGTCAGACTGTCTGGACAAAAAAATAATTTATGGGTCATTTTTTGATAAATCCTTGTTTTAAGTATTTTATTTCATCTAATCCATATTCTTTTTGAGTATTTCATTAAGTCTTGTTTAATGTAATACGACAAAATCATCATTTCTAATTTTTTGCACATATTTCTATTTTGAAACTAATATATAACAATAGTCCGTCATTTTACGAAGAAAATCTCTCCCTCATTCTAAAAAGAAAAATTTTCCCTTATTCCGTGTAGAAAATCTCTCTCTTATTTTAAGGAAAAAATTCTCTTCCGCATTCCATGGAGAAAATCTCAAATTATCCATTTTGAACCTTTTTATAATTTGAAAATTTTAAAAATAATTCAACAAAAAATCTGAATAAAAATCAAAATATAATGTAAATGTTCATAGTAAACAACAAACATACAATTAACTTTTGAAAAAATAAAACACAATTAAATTACAATGTGAATGTTCACAACAAACAACAAACATAAAACTAACTTTCGAAAAAATAAAATTCATACGAAAATACAATGTGAATATTCAAAATTTATAATTAACATACAACTGGCCTTAAAAAAAATAATTTATACCAATGCAAACATTTATATTGCAACGTGAAAACATAAAATAAAATTGAGAATGTGAAAATCGACTATTTCAATTATTTAATGGTGACAAAAATGACTGTTCATCTAACAAGCATAGTATAGTTCCCAAAAAAAAAAAAAAAAAACAAACAAGCATAGTAACAAAAAACAACAAACACACTATTAACTTTTGAAAAAATAAAACTTATATCAAAATACAATGCGAATGTTCACAATTTACAATTAATACACAATTAGTTTTAAAAAAAATAAACTTATATCAACGTGAATATTCACCCTACAACGTGAAATATAAAATAAAATTGAAAAAAGTAAAAAATGACTATTTTGAATGTTCATGGTAATAAAATGGTTGTTCAACCAACAAGCATAGTAAAAAAAATAACAAAATACAACTAACTTTCGAAAAAATTTCAAAAAAAACTCATACCAAAATATAATGTGAATGCTCGCAATTTAAAATTAATATACAATTAACCTTTAAAAAATTAAATTCATACCAATGTAAACATTCACATTATAACATGAAACAAAATTGAAATAAAAAAAAAAATTGACTATTTCAATTGTATGGTAACAAAAAATGATTGTTCAAACAACAAGTATATTAACAAATAACCAATGATATGTGAACATTCACATATTGCAAAATATATAATTATTTCCAAATTTATATTCCAACACTTATTTCTCAGACTTTCAAATAATGTGAAATGTGAATATTCACAATGATTGACAAAAAAATAGAAACAATGGCCGGAATAGAATTAGAAATAAAAAAAAAAAAACTCAATCACTCTAAAAATAAAAAAAATATCACCCATATCCTCATCTTCATCATCATCTTTATTATTATCGCTATCATTAACAATCTATGCAATTTCACCATTCTACTAATCCAAATCAAATCAAACTCATATTTGAAGAATATGTTTGTAACAAAATTGATTGGACATAAATAGAGTTTCGACTTACAACAATAGACAAATATAGAGTTTCGAACATATACTAACGATGGATGAACACAGAATTTTGAACACAAAGTGACAATGGAGGAACACAAAGTTTCACCACAACAATGGAGGAACATAATATTATTTCACCACCATGTGTAAACTAAAGTTTCTAAACCCCACCAAAAAGAGAGTTTTAAAGTCAAGCAGAATGAAACAATACCACAAATGTGAATGAATCTAATCAAAAAGAAAACCGTGAATAATGGTAATTACTAAAATAGAAGTAGTAATAAAAAAAAATGTATATATCCTTTTTCTATGTAACACATATCAATAATAGACATAAGGGTAGTCCATCAAACAATGTAAATCAGGAAAAGAAAGACTTCATGGAATAAAATTATAATTACATGGGACTAATTAGATTATAATTTTTCTTGATAGACTTATTGGGTTAGAATATCTCTAAATGAGATTTATCAATAAAAAAACCCATAATTTAAGGATGAATAACAAATGAGTTTGACTTCTCTCAAGTTATCTTTTCAATTTGAAAAAGTGTTTGAGCTTAGTAGGCACATTCTGGAAGTGATATGAACCTTCACTTTTTAATACTTGTTAAGTCGAATATTCATGTAACTCGAGATGAATGGATATCAGTAGTTATATGTTTGAATTAAATTTATATTATAAAAAATAAATGACTATTTTTGAAATTACATTTATTATTCATTTTTTAAAATAAATTTGATTCAAACATATAACTATCGATATCCGATCATTTTTTATTTTTTACATGATTATTTTACTTAATAATTCTTAAAAAGTAAACTGTTTAGATTACCAAAATCAATTCCAAAATAGATTTATCAAACTCAAACATTCTCTCAAATTGAGATGATTAATTTAAGAGAAGCTAAACCCATAATAAATATTCCAAAAAAGAAAGCATATCCTGTTAGGTGAGTTTGGAGTGTTTTTTTTAGTGACTTTTCTAAAAGTAAAAAAAAAAAAAAAGGTAAATTATACTATTCTCCTTACGTTTAATGAAATTGTAGAAATCTCTTATGAGATTTTTTAAATTACTTAAATCTCCCTTGAAATTTTGTTTCAATTACAATAACCTCTCTTAAGATTTTAATGATACGTAGAAACCTTGCTTGGGATTTTTGAGATGACCAAAAATCTCTTTAGAGGTTTATTTTCAATTAGATGGACCCCTCATACAATTTAAAGAAATTGCAGAAATTTCTCATAAGATCTTTTAAATGACAAAAACGTTTCTGGATGTTTAGTTTTTTGTTACAGATTCCTTCTTATGTTACTTTATTGTAAAAAAAAATAAATAAAAAAATATTGACATAATCAAATAATTTAATTACAATTTCAATTGTGTCTAGTTACAAAGAAGTAAGAAAATAATTTTTTTATTTTCTCTATTTATTTCGTCTACAGTTGATTGCACGTGCCTCCTTTAAGCAAAACCTTCTGACATCATAAAAAAAATATTCACATCATCAAATAGTTTAATTACAATTTCATTTTACGCTTGAAAATTGTGTCTAATTACAAAAAGATTAAAAAATATATATATATATATAATTCATGTTTTCTCTCTTTGTTATGTCCGTAGTTACCGCAACTTGGGGAGGCTACTGCGCATTATTGTGGAGCCAATGAAACTTTTTTAGGTTTCATTTTGACAATTTAAACCGTTCACTTTTTAAAAGACATCGTATAAAACGTGCTTGAAAAATTTAAGTTAATTGAATATCCGTATTCCTTTCATCAAATCATGTTTATATTCAGATTTATACTGAAAATTAAATTTACCATTCAATTTTTTTAGATATAAATATGTCTTGATGAAAGGAATATCAATATTTGATTAGCTTGAATTTTTTGAGATATATTCTATTCGATGTCTTCTAAAAAGTGAACGGTTTGAATTATCGAAATGAGACCCGAAAAAAGTCCCATTAGATGCACAACAATGGCTGCTATGCACCTTAAACCCTAATTATGGTGCGCAGTAGCCACCCCAAACCCTAATTATTAGTAAGTGTGCGTCTTGTTCATCCAAAACCCAATGGGAATTTTATTTATTTCTTTGTTGTAATTGGACACACTTTAAAAGGTAGAATTTAAAAAATAATTAATTTATTTGATAATATCAACATTTTCTATATTTTTTTATGATAAAATAATAATTTAGAGAATCTGTAATAAAAAACTAAACCTAAAAGGAAGTTATATCATTTCAACAATCTTATAAAAGATTTCTATAATTTTAAATTTCAAGAGAGGTTAATATAATTGAAAATTAAATCTTAGGAGAAGTTTTTGTTAATTTAAAATTTTAGGAGAGGCTTTTATATTTCATTAAATCCCAGGAAAGTTACATTTGGAATTTACAATTTCATTATTAATGATGTTATGTGTATTAATTAATATATCAATATATGTTATGTTATTATTATTTTAAAATTATAGACTCTACTCATTATATAAACTATAAAAATTTAAAAAATCTAAATTTTTTTCACATCATTCATTAATACAATATTTAATATACCAATTAATGAGTATAACTTAATTATTTCATTAAACCTGATGGAGTTAAGTCTAGGTACCCAAAAATTTAACATTTAATATTTTTTTTTTATAAACAGAATTTTAGCCCTAAACGGCCACATAGGCGAATGACGACCCGGTGGATGCAATTACGGAGAGGCGAGAAATAGCGATTGATTGAAGATTGAAGATTGAAGATTGAAGTGGTTGTTGAGCGCTCTTGATTGTTGTCTCTTCGTCGATCGTGTCTTTTGTGTTGTGTTGGGATGGCTTTGAAGTTTCTGAACAAAAAGGGATGGCACACAGGGAGCCTTCGGAACATAGAAAACGTGTGGAAAGCTGAACAGAAGCATGATGCCGAACAGAAGAAGTTGGAGGAACTCCGCAAGCAGATCCATGAGGAGAGGGAGCGCTCTGAGTTTCGCCTCCTCCAGGAACAAGCTGGCCTCCTTCCGTACGTCTTCTCAATTTTTTTTTTTTCTCGATTGGGATTAGGGTTTCTTTTAAACAATTTTGCTAAATTATCCCCCTTTTTCTTTATTTTGTATCTTGTATTTTTTGTTTTTTGTTGCAGCAAGCAAGAAAGATTGGAATTCTTGTATGATTCTGGATTAGCTGTAGGAAAGGGCAGCTCTGATGGATTCAAGGCACTTGAAGCCCTACCCAAGACTGACCCTCAAATGGCCTCCTCTTCTTCCGGCAAGGTATTTTTATTCTCATTCTTTTGAAATCACTTGCCTGTGCCTTTTGATTCAAGCTTCTTGCATGACATGACTGGCTGATAATCGTGGTTAGTACCATGGCTTCAAGATAACACCAAGCTATATTAAGACGAATCAAGGAATTAAATATTGTTAGCAAAAGCATACGTTATAGTATTTATGTCCACATGTTCAGTACATAACTGACCAGTGGCGCATATGGTTACATACAAGTCCATGCCATAATCACACATATAATAACCATTACAAAACATAACATATTTACATCCATAACTAAATAAAATCAAGGAACACATGGCATGTTCAAACTAGCTTCATTACACATAGCAAAAGTATGTCCACATAGAAAAGCCTCCAATGGTTGTGCCTTATCATGTGAAATGTTATTAGGCACGATGTAAGTTAAAGCCTGCTCAGTAAATAGCATTATACGAGCACTCACGAGATAAAATAGTTACATCGATATTCAATTTAAAGAAAGTGTAGCTCAAGTTCCTATTATGTTATCAATTTGTAATTGCCTAGCTTGAGTCGTATTTGTTTTAAGAAGTCCTACTTGAGTCTTATTTGAAATCTATAAGATAGTAGGACTAAAGTGCTTAATGAAGATCTCGGTTCGTGTACAATTGGCCTCAGTAGCAAGCTAGAGAGTATAAGTGTCTGAAGCTATATTCGAAGCAACAAGAAGTGTATTTATTTCTATTGGTTGGTCAATCGGCCATTCCTTAGGTTGACTGGATGTTTGATGTCGAAGTCTCTGGTGGACTTGTCATATGTTAAGTCAACTCGTCGGCACAAGATTAATTTCATATAGCACGAGAAAGGTTGCCAATATCGTAATCCAAGTCTTCCAAGGATTCTCTAAATATAAGTACATCTTTTATGGGGGAATCAAAAGGCTTAGAGAACATAAAGAGTGGCTCTATGCCTTTGTTCGGAAGATTATTTAATCTCCAAGGCTTGCACATCATTATTAATAAATGGATGATTCTTGTTGGATTCCAAGGTTGTTTTGGTGGATTCCAGAGGTTGGTTGGTGGATCATGTTTAGTTCAAAGTGGAATTTAGAGGTATCGTGGTTTCAATACTCAACTGATCATGAATTTAGTTGGTACAAGAAGCACACTTGAAAATTCGTGGATTTGAACCTGAGATGCATGAATTTGGCTAGGGTGGGGTAGTAAGTTGTAATTTGTATTTTGATTGGTTGTGATAGTGGTTTGTTGGCTGGACAAGGTCCCGTGGTTTTTTCCATGTTAAAAATTGTAAGTGGTTTGTCTGTGCGCTTGATTTATTTTTATGCTTGTAATCTAGATCGTGTGATTAGAATTAATCAGCCAAACAAACCAAAGAAAATCTATATCAACGAATTAAAAGTTTTCATTTAGTATTACAGCATATCAATTGTCTAGTATTCATGCTTATAATCAATATAGTTACACAATATACACACATCACAATGAAACAATGACTTGAGTTGACTTGGACTCCCAACAAGGGCCACAAAGTGGCAACAAGAGCTATGAAACATGGCGAACAAGAGAGACGTCTTGATAATAGGAGTTACTAGTATGCGTACTGCCCCCAACGGTTGGGACTCACCGTGAATAACATATATGAAACATTTGCAAGTATGATCATGTATTTCAAAAGAGATATCCATGGTTTTTCTTAGCATAATTAATTTTGGTAATTAATTCAAATTATAGCATTGCAATAAGAAGATGTTTGAAAAGGAATTACATTGATAAGAACTAAGTTCATAGATGCTTTGGTATACGACTACTCACCTTGTGCTCTAAGCAAGTTCTCACAAGAGTTCTTCCAAGGATTGTACATTTTACAACTTGTACATGATTAGAATTAGGCAATTGTGCAAAGTTTGTTTAATGAATCATGTGAACTCCTAGCAATGGTCCATTATCTTAGTTGTGCCTTTGCTAGGGTCCCAATGCAATGGTTGGGGGTCAAAATGGGTAAAGTCAATAAAAACGGGTCAAAATATGGAAAAAGCCTTGAAGGTTGGATAACAACTCAAGTGGTGAATCACTGCTTGCATGTTTACTTGAACAACTGAGATCTAGAGAAGTGTTGTTCACTATTGGATGATCTAGAAAAGTGGTGAATCACTACTTGCATGTTTAATGATGACTCTAGTGGTCATCACACAGTCACAATCTTTTGGGTTTTGAAGCCTAGAATTTTGATCCCAATTGATTCCCAACTTCTAATTCTATACCAATAAGTAAGCAATAAAGTGAGAAATTTGGGTGCAAAACTTCGTTAAACACCAACCTAACCTCCTCCTTCCATCAAATAGTGGACCGTGGCCAATCAATTATAGATTCAATCTTTTGTGGGTCCACATAGATGTGACATGCCAAAGAAGTGAATGCTCCAAAGCCAAAACACACACTTAATCTATTTCACATAGTTTATTTTCTCTCAAACCGTGTAGCATGATCCACAAGTGTTGTTCATGCTCCTTCTATGTCTTGGAATAAACCGAAATATCATTGATGAAGATAATCACAAACTTGTCAAGTAGGGTTTAACACTTGATTCATTAAATATACGAATGTGGCTAGTACGCTGGTGATGAAGATCATGAAAAGAAGAAAAAGATCAAATCCGGAATTTCACATGAAGCACATTTAGGATACCAAGAATTAAAGATTTAGAATAATTTTGATTCTTCATATCATTATAGTAAGTTTTAGTAATTAAGGGTATAATGGTAATTCTAATAATTGTTAGACATGGGTTGTAAGGGGTTGTCCATGGGTTTGATTTTGGGTAAAGTTATTAAATGGGTCATTATATATGGGTTTTATTATCTCTAAAATAATTTTAGTGATTAAAAGTCTAAATTTTCTATTTTGATATTGAAATAGAATTACAAGTCATTAAAGTTTCCTGTTATGATTGAAGTAGAATTGGAAGTCACAGTTGGTCTAGAATATTAGTATTTGCTAAATGTTTTTAGTTTCTAAATTTGAGTTATAGTCCTTGTAGAGTTAGTAGTCTTTAGCCTATAAATATATGTGTAATCTTAATGATTCGAGGGAAGAGTTAATATTATGAAAATTTGACATTGTGTTTGTATCACTGTTCACTTCACTGTTCACAGTGCTTGGAATCGCCACCCAATAGCCCTAAACACTTGTTTTTTTGATTTCCAAAACCCTACATTTTTACAAACCCTTAAACTCCTATCTTTTACATACTTTGCAGCCACAAAATCTCACTAAATTCAGCCCTATAAGTCTATTGTTGCTGCTGCTGCTGCTACCTGTTTATTTAACCCGGCCTCACTACTTGTAGGAAAATAATTTCTACTTGTCCTACATCAGTTGGCCATCCCAAAAGGCATAATAAAAAACTCGTACTGGCTCCATAATGCGTGCAGAAGTTGTCTTTTCAATATCCCTGGCTTTGACCTTTGGATGATATTCGGATCACAAATCTATTTTGGAAAATACTTGGATGCCTTGAAGTTGATCAAATAATTCATCTATTCTTGGTAGTGAGTACTTGTTCTTCATTGATACTTTGTTTAACTACTGATAATCATTGCAAAACCTCATGGTCCCTTCTTTCTTCTTCACAAACAACATGGGAGTACCACAAGGTGAAGTGCTTGGTTGGATAAAGTAATTGTCAAGCAAATCTTGAAATTATACCTTCAATTCCTTCAATTTTGTAGCTAACATCCTATAAGGGCTTTTAGAGATGGGTGGTGTGCCAGGTATTACATCAACGGTAAACTCGATTTTGTCAATCAACTAAGGATCTTGTCAGCTCTTCTACAAAAGATTGGGAAAACATCTGGGCAGCACTGGTGCTCCAAAGGTTTCCGTCACAAGTGCAAAGGCTCTTCCTTGCCTTTGATCTTTCTTACTGCCTTCCTAAATTGTTGGTTTTTGAATTGATTAGAACAGGCTAGGTGATGAATTTTTGGTACTGACATGCTTCTTGGGTCAAGGTAAGGAACTCAGTTGTCTTTCGGTACCAAATGGATTTCGGAAAGTATTTGTTGAACACATTTAAGAATATTTGCCTTGTCATGTGGGGTACGTGATGCAGTTGGAAAAAGTGAAGAGCAGAATTTGTAGCAACAAGAACATCGCAACTCTTCTACAAATCTATTGAATCCTAATATTACCAAAATTGTTGAATCCTAAGATTACCAAAATTATATGAAAAGGTAAAAATCTCTCAATGAATTTTGTATTATTAATCAAAAGTTGTAGAACTATAAAGCTTATAACCTTATTTATAATAGTAGAAATCTTAACAATTGAGAATTAGTTGGGCTTTGATCTGGACACCCTGGTGTCAATAAAAAAATATATATATTAGAAAGGAAAATAAAATATTAGGAAACTGATTATGTGTCTTATAGACCAAGTAATTCTAATTATTATAGGACAAGGAATTAAAAAATAAGAAACCTAAATAAAAAGAAAACTAAAGGCTGTGTTTGGTTGTGCTTTTGAAATGTGATTCTACATGCTAGTTTCAGCTCCATGTTTGGTAAGAGTTTTGGAATTAATTTTCCAAAACTCTGCTGAAAGCTCTGTCCATTCTGCGCGATTCTTGTATTTTTTTTGGCTAGGGGAAGACCGCCTAGTCGTCCCTAGGGACTACCACCCGGACGTCCTTGGGGACATCCACCCGAATGTCCTCTGTTGTACAGATTTTTTTTTTTTTTTTGCAATTGATTTATATAATTGGGAAAAATATTTTCTGAATTTTTTTTAATTTTTAATGTGCTTTAAAATAATTTTGAGTTGTATGTTTAGTTAGGAGTTGTAAATTTATGTATCACATATCAAATATCACATCAACAATTCCCCACTCAAATCAAACCTCTTTTCTAAAATTATTTTCAAAACTCTTTACCAAACAAATTTTCTATACTCAAATCATAATTCTACAGCACACAAACTCAAAATACAACTCATACTCTCAAATCACAT